GTTTTTATAAATAATATTTAATAGATACGTATAAATTGATGTTTTACGGTCATGAAAATGTTAAGTTAATAAATTGTAAGGTATTCAATGGACGACAAGATAAAACATATATATATATATATAATCGTTACTTATTTATTGATGTTGATAATAAAATTGTTAATTTAATAAATTATAATATATTTAATAGACAGAAGATAACAAAATAAATTACATTAATAAAAACATTAAAATTAATAAATTAATGATAATATTAATGAAAATTTATAAAAAAAATTATTATATAATACCTAAATAGGATATATGTAAAAGAAAAAAACTAATAAAAGGTTAAAAATTATTCCATAGAATTTAAATAAAAGGTTAAAAATTAAATCATGATTTATACTATTAAATAAATTATACATTTTAAACTTAAATTATTATATAAACTAATAAATAAAAATTGTTAATATTTCTTCAGTTATATTTTATTTATATTTTTTTTAATTCATAACCATCGACCATCAATATCTAAAAAAATTGTTGTTATAAACTCTCTAAATGTAACATTTAACTATTACACTTCGTGTATGATATGTGAATAAAAGATGAATATATATATATATATATATATATATATATATATATATATATATATATATATATATATATTATTTATTTATTTATATATAAATATATATATATATATTTATATTTATATTTATATATTTATATTTATATTTATATTTATATTTATTTATATGTGAAGAATAATATAATATTTATTGATAAAAAATTTCTACCACAAAATCCAACACAAAAAATTTTCCATCTAAAATTTTAATTATCCATGAAACTGTCCATAATAAATATTTTCATAAAAACTGATTTTATAAATAATAATTAATAGTTAATATTAATGTTAACTTAAGAATTTATAATTCATTGACCATAGTACACATAATACAAATAATAAATTATAATAAGATATATGTGGAAAAGGGAAAAATATTGAATGTCAACCAAAATTAAAGCATCTAATTAAATTATTCCATAAATGTGAAATTATAAAAATAAAAAATTTAGTGAAATAAAATTTAAATAATTATTTATGATATTGAATGAATGTTGAATAATTGAGAATTAATGTATATATTTTAAATTTAAGTTATTAAATTATTAATATGTATTCAATTGTTTCATTTATTAATTATTAAAATACAAAATAATAAACAACTAAGATTTAGAAAATGATTGTCTATACCACATTATGTACTATTCAATCATTAAACTTAGTGTAATATATGAACAATTATAAACAAAATGTTAATTAAGTTAGCTAATATATATATATATATATATATATATATATATATATATATATATAAATTAAGGGCTATATTTATATTTAAAGAATTATTTAATATTAAAAACTATGACGAAAAATTTATGTATTAAAATTTGTTTAAAATGTCTTAATTTTAATACTAAAGGATTCTTCAAATATAAATAAAAAGTATTGTAATGTATATATATATATATATATATATATATATACTAAAAATTCTCATGAAATATGAGAATATTTTTACAATTTTTTTATAAAAATTGCAAGAAATGAGTTTCCTACACATTTAAATTATTTTTTACAAGAAAATTTGTAAAAAATAAGTAATTTTTTAGTATATATATATATATATATATATATATATATTAAAACTTTTACAATATTTTGTATTTATACGTGAAGAATCATTTAATATTAAAAAGAAAAATTCGCCCATTTTTTTATTATAATTTTAATAAATCTATCAAAGTGTTAATAATGAAATTTGTCACAAAATTTGATTTTATAAATAATAATGAAAAGTTTCTTATATATTGATGTTTTATGATAAATAAAATGTTAACATAATAAACTGTAATTTATTCAACATAGACCAATAATTAGGTATATTAATAAGAATACTAAATTAATAAATTAATGATAATAAAAATCATAATATTTCAAAATTTAAATTATTATACAATATTTAAATATAGGATATACATTCAAAAGGGAAAACATTGAATCCTGCGAAAATTTCAATTTTAGCTTGTAGACATGGCTTCTTATTTAAAGTAGATGGCCTAGAACATTCGATAAAGGTCAAATTAAAAAATAAAAGACTGGTGAAATAAAATTAAATAATAACTTATACTATTAACTAAATATTTAATATTTAGTTCATAACTCATGTATATTTTAAATTTAATATAATAAATAAATTATAAAATATTAATTATTAATATTCATTCAAAGCTTCCATTAATGAATTCTTTAAATATATAACCAGAGACAACCAAGATTTCAGAAATTCTTTTGATAAAAGTATAAAATTAATCTATATGTGATACAATTGTTAGGTTTAGCCGTAAATTATCAGGCATATAGAGTGAGTTTTTATTTTTTATTTTTATATTTGAAAGAATATTTTCTTTTATTCATGTTATATAATTCTTTTATTTCATCTATTTTTCTATCTCTAAATTTTTCTTGGTAAATGTTGAGTACAGTGGTCTCTAAGATTTGTAATTTTATATTATAATCTAGAATTCTTTTATTCAATCTATTTTTTTCATCTCTCAATTTCTCTTTGTAAATGTAGAATAAGGTTGGTCTTTTCAATGAGATTTATTTTTTATATCTTAGGAAGAGTATCTTCTCTTATTCATAATCTAGAATTCTTTTTTTTGAATTAATTTTTTTATCTCTAAAATTTTCTTTGTAAATGTTGAGTAATGTGAGGTGGTTCTCTAGAGTGAGAAGTTTGTTTATATCTCAGGAAGAGTATTTCCTCTTATTTATAATTTAAAATTCTTATACTCGATCTATTTTCATATTTCTAAAATTTTCTTTGTAATACTGAATAAGGTTGGTCTATAGAGTGTGAATTTTTTATTTATTTTATATCTCAGGAAAAGTATTTTCTTTTATTCATAATCTATAATTCTTTTATTGGATCTATTCTCTTATCTCTAAAATTTTCTTTGTAAATGCATAAGGTGAGGTGGATCTCTAGAGTGAGAATTTTGTTTATATCTTAGGAAAAATATTTTCTCTTATTTATAATCTACAATTCTTTTACTCGATCTATTTTTGAATCTCTAAAATTTTCTTTATAATGTTGAGTAAGGTTGGTCTATAGAATGGGATTTTTTTTTATATCTCAGAAAGAATATTTTCTCTTATTCATAATCTAGAATTCTTTTATTCGGTCTATTTTTATATCTTAAGTTCTTCTTTGCAAATGCTGAGTAAGATGGGTCTCTAGAGTAAGATTTTTTTTATATCTCAAGAAAAGTATATTTTTCTTATTCATAATCTAGAATTTTTTTATTTGATCAATTTTTCCATCTCTAAAACTTTCTTTGTAAATGCTGAGTAAGGTGCGTCTCTATATTGTGAATTTTTTCTATATCTTAGGAAGAGTATTTTCTCTTATTCATAATCTAGAATTTTTTTTATTGGATCTATTTTTTTTATCTCTAGAATTTTATTTGTAAATGTTGAGGAATGTGAGTCTCTAAAATGTGACTTTTTTTCTATTTCTCAAGAAGAATATTTTCTTTTATTCATAATCTAGAATTCTTTTATTAAACTTGTTTTTTTATCTCTAGAGTTTTCTTTGTAATACTGAGTAAAGTGAGTCTTTAGAGTGAGAATTTTGTTTATATCCCAAAAAGAGTATTTTCTCTTATTGATAATCTAGAATTCTTTTACTTAATCTATTTTTGTACCTCTAAAATTTTCTTTGTAAATGCTGAGTAAAGTGGGTTTTCAGAGTGTGAGTTGTTTTCTTTTATATCGTAGGAAGAGTATATTTCTCTTATTCATAGTCTAGAATTCTTCTATTCCATCTATTTTTTTATCTTTAAAATTTTCTTTATAATGCTGAGTAAGATGGGTCTTTAGAGTGAGAATTTTGTCTATATCTTAGGAAAAGTATTTTCTCTTGTTGATAATTTATAAGTTTTTAACTCAATCTATTTTTTATCTCTAAAATTTTCTTTGTAAATGCTAAGTAAAGAGAGTTTGATTTTTTTTTGTTTTATATCTTAGGAAGAGTATTTTCTCTTATTCATAATTTATAATTCTTTTATTCAGTTTATTTTTTTCCGTGTAAATTTTTCTTTGTAAATGCGAAGTAAGATAGGTCTTTAAAGTGAAAAATTTGTCAACATCTCTGGAAGAATGTTTTCTCTTATTTATAATCTAAAATTCTTTTACTCGATCTATTTTTCTATCTCTATATTTTTCTTTGTAAATGTTGAATAAGATAGATCTCTAGAGTGAGATTTTTTTTTCTATATCTCAAGAAAAGTGTTTTCTCTTATTCATAATCTAGAATTTTTTTATTTGGTCTCTTTTTTTATCTCTAAAATTAAATATTGAGTAAGAAGGGTCTCTAGAGTGAGATTTTTTTTCTCAGTCTTAGGAAGAGTATTTTCTCTTATTCATAATCTAAAATTCTTTTATTTGATCTATTTTTTTATCTCTAAATTTTTCTTTATAAATGTTGAGTAAGGTGACTCTCTAAAGTGAATTTTTTTTTCTATATTTCAGGAAGAGTATTTTCTATTATTCGTAATATAGAATTATTTTATTTGGTCAACTTTTTTATCTTTATAATTTTCTTTGTAAGTGTTGAATAAGATGGGTCTCTAGTGTGAGATTTTTGTTTTTGTCTCTAGATATTTTTTTTTCTATATCATAGGAAGAATATTTTCTCTTATTCATAATTTAGATTCTTTTATTCAGTCTACTTTTCTATCTCTGAAATTTTATTTGTAAATGTTAAGTAAAATGGATCACTAAAGTATTTTTTTTTAATATCACGAAGAGTATTTTTTTTATTCATAATCTAAATTTATTTTATTCGGTGTGTAGATCACATCTCTAGTTATCAAACTTATTTATCTAACTTTTTCATGGTTTTTGGATTGATTTGGCTTAGGACTTTGAAGAGCGTTCAAAAATGAGTGAGAAATATGATGAATGTTTGAACATTGAAGGTAAGTATTCTTTAGCTCTTGTACATTTAAATTTTGTTGGTTGGATATAATTTGTGAATTTTTTATTTATTTCTTATAATATTTTCTCTCTTTATGTGATTATTTTGTATAATGAAAATCACAATAACATATATAATATTGTACACTAGAGATAAACAATATTTAAAATTTACTTTCCCCAAATTCTTCTTTAATGAATCTTCTCTAAATTCAAAGATTTAAACCTTTTATTCTTATTTTTATTAACTTATTGAATTCACCTAGTGACTTAAAATCTCGTGGTGACTTCAACTCTCTCTTAAATTTGTTAAGTAAGAGGAATTTGTACAATGAATTTTGTTAGAGAATATCTTCAACCCATTCTTCAAATTTGTTGAGAAAAATGGATTTTCTTAGTGTATGTTATTACCAAAGGTTGTTCCTTTTAGTTTCTTTCTCGTTTCTTCCATAAATTTGATCCTTTTATGTCTTCAATCCAAGTTTGTTTTGTTAAGTTGTCACAGTATCATCGAAGTTATAAGATTGATGCACTAAACTACCAATTTTTACAAAATATATATTTTTAGTTAATTATTTACAAAACCTATCAAATTAACTTAGCATAGTTTAGAAGTTAGGAAGTTTACATGAGATGCCCTAAAAAAACTGAGAGAATCATACGTCTTAAGCACATGGGATATGCAAACACACGTGTTTATGATATGATTTACTTCTAATTCATGGTAAGAATCAAGTTTAATCACAATAGTACATGTTACGACTATTCTTTCTTCAATAATTTTAACTTTTGACTTTTATCCAAGTATTATATATTTCAATTGCTCTTCAAATGATATATCCTAATTATTCTTCTTAACAAGTCTCTTTAGTTCAAGTCACACTCCAACAGAAAGGTAGATTTTCTCACTTGATTAAGTAGATATCATTTAATGGACAGATATAAAACAATGAAAATCATGTATGGGTTTTTCTATTAACAATAACTAGCAAGTATCAAAATTAAAAAGAAAATTTACGAGATTGAAACTAGAGAATTTTGTTTGTTTGAAAGTTCTTTCACTTAACTATTTTTATAGCAATTCAACAAAAACAAAAAAAAAATGATAATAAATTAACAAGCCTCCATATATAAGAACTCAACAATGTTATATTATTATGTCTTTGAAATAACATTAACTAATCTCAAGATCAAGGTAAACCTATTTATGGAATTACACACACCAAATTGCTTATAAGTTTAATGTTAAGTTTAAGCTACTAATTTTATTTTCTTGATGCTTTTAAGATGGTGCTACTCCGAGACCAACCGTCAACAACATTACTAAGAGAAAGGAAAATAAGCAAAAGCATAAAGCTGGACAAAAAGTGGTAAGTGTTTGCATGCTTTGAATGTATATTGTAATTGCATGACAACAAATCTTATGTACTAATTAGTTGTTCTATCTTCACAGAGTAAAAAAGAAGTTACCAAGAATAACAAGCAAGAAGGAGAAGCTACTAATTACAAGCCTCGAATGTTCATAGGTCTTTATGTTTGCAAGGAATATAATGGAGCTAGATATCTGGGAACTGTTATTTCCTACAGCACCAAAAAGAAAATGATGAAAGTATGTCTTTTTTAATTAAAGCTATTGATCATATTAAACATAGTTCATGCATATAAATATTTTCCTTTAAACTTGTTATTTTCCAAATACTTGTTATGATAACATACATATTCTTGTTGTATTGAATGTTGCTCTCATGGATAAAATGATTGTTAATACTTCAATAAATATATGATCATAATTAGTTACTCATTTATAAAACTTTTTAAATTTATGACTATATTATTGGATAGTGGGAATTATGTAATTTGTTCATCGAAAATGGTTTAAACTCAGATTGAATATGAAGATGGTCGAACTGAATTTTTGGAGAAGGAGGAGGTTAAGAAAATTAAGGCTACTCAAAAAGACATATTAGACGCTCAAAAAGCCTTAAAAGAAAGGTATGAAAAGTTTATAATTTCATTAAAACTTTTATTAGTCTCCTGTATATTTTATGAATTTCATCCTTATCCTAATTTTTAAACTTGACTTCTGTATTTATACTTTTAGTTATGAATTTAACTATCTAATTTTTGAAAAAAATGTGATTTAGTTCTTATTTATACCTATATTTCACATTTAATGGCAGGATTTTTACAATCACAAAATTAATAAAAGAAATAAATGAACATGTTTTATTAATGTTTAAAAACTAATTAATCAAATTTTAAAATAGAAGTATCAAAACTACGTTTGATGAAAAGTATATAAAAAAGATTTAACTTTTATTATCAAACTACGAACAAATTTTTTTTTTCTAGTATATAACTTTTTATTAATTACATATAATCACAGGAATATTTCGAAGAAGACGAGTTCAAGAAATAAGAAAAGGGTGGAGACAGCAGGAGAGAGTTCAACTACAACGAAGAAGAAAAACAAAGCTTCGGACAAAGAAGAAAAACCTCGTCGTTATCCCTTAATGATGAGGGCTTCTAATGACTTGAGTGTATGATACACTTTTTATTGATTTTTGTTAACTTATTACTTCAACTAATGTTTTTTTTTTATTATTATAGAATTTGAGATAACATATACTACTTTTTTTTAGAAATTTTGTTTGGTAATTAATGTTTTTTTATTTTTATATATATAGGTTCTAGCGGAGATGAGAAAAAGGAGGAAGAACTGATAAAAGACGATCTCAGATCCAATTTACAAATTATGTTAGAAGTAATGAAATATGATCGTTGGTGTAAGATCAATATACTAATTATGTTATTTTTATGCAACTATCTTTTAATTTATTTACATTAATCCTTGAACATTTATAATCTGACTTTATATTTGAATTATCTATTATTTCCTCACATTATGTGGAAATGGCATGTCTTATCACTTTTATTACTTAATATTTGTTAATATATATAATTTGAAGATGAATGTTTGAATTATCATCGTCAATATACAACAAATTAATATTTAATAAAAATTAATCTCATGGCATGTGGTGTAGTAGAAATACTTAGGGAAGACTATTAAAAGAATTTCATCTACTCTCACAAATATTTTTAAAAATGTCATTGATGAAATTGTAAATATACGAGAGCTTTTTTGATTTTGTAAATTTTTTTATTTTATTTTTTCTAATCTTATATATTTGAATCTACCTATCGTTGCTCTAATAAATCTATGTATAATTGAAAGTGTATAAATATACTACGTAAACTACAACCAATATTTATTAGATAAATGTATATAAATGTTAGAAAATATATAAAAGATATCATTTAACATAATTTAAATAAAATTTTAATAAAGATAAAAATGGTATAATATATATATATATATATATATATATATATATATATATATTAAATCCTATATTAATGAAAACATAAATCCCCAATAAAATCAAAATTAGAAGTTCAACCATTATTTTGCTATATTTTCTAATTCTTATTGAATATTTAAATGAACATTCGAAATATCTAACTATTTTATAGATTGAAAAAGATTAATATAAAATCAGAAAGGACAACTTGCTTCAAATTCTGAAACTTGTTTAGTTTACTTTTAATTATATTGCATTTTTAGTTAATAACAAAATTATTTAAATTGAATATGAATAGATATATATTTTGTTTTAAATATTGATTAGATGAAAGAAGATAGACATATATATTTTTATCATGTTGGAGGAAAAATTATGAGTGACTTTTTCATTTAAAAGTAATTGGATCGATAAAGTATAGCTATGTTAATTTTTAATAATTTATAACATAATCACCAATGTGTTAAGTTATAATTTCTTATTTATATACGTATTTTTTTTAAGATTCTCAAATCCCATCAATCATTGGTTGCATATTAAGATTCCAAAGATGTTAGGGGGTACCCATTAGCTTGTATAATTTGTTGACTTTTCCTGGCATGGATATTCACTTTAAATAACCTTAGGATTTTAGAATCATTCACAGTGTTAGCATACCCTTTTAGAAATATTACCTGAACGTGCAATATAATTTTAAATTCAATGACTAGGCCAATGATAACGTGTTATTTATGAAGCGTAATCCATTCTCATTTTGTACCACCCACATGCATTAATAGTAGTGGCAGCCGGAAATACAAGATCCCACCACTGACCTTCTAACCTATAAACTCAATACACTAAAAAAAACTAATTATAGTGATATAAATATTTATCACTAAAATAGTAAATTTATCAATATTAATATCTTATAACAATAATTTAATTATCACTAATACACATATTATTAATATAATTGTAACAATATTTTTAAATATCACTAAAATTAAACTTGACAAAATATTTAACACTAATAATTATATATAATAGTAATAATAATAAATTGTCACAAAAATAGTGATAAATAAAGTTATCACTATTAAAAATTTATAAAACAAATAATTATTTTAACATCACAAATATTTTAAAATATAATAATAAATTAGTTATTATTCATAATTTATAAAATAATTATTATTAATTTAATGTCACAATATATAAATAATAGTGATTATATTTTATTATTATAATTTATAAAATAATAATAATAATTTTAATTTTAATTTCACAAATATATTTGAATAAAGATAATAATAAATTAATTATTATTGTTTATATTTTTTATAATAACAATAATAAGAATAATGCTAATATTAATCTTTTTTGTAATTATTAATTTTTAAAATTATTATTCAATTATTAAATTATTTAATTTAAATGATAGGTAAGTCTTCTAAATTTGCTTCATTATTTCAAAGTCATTTTAAAAATATTAAAATAAATAAATATTCAAACATAAATTATCAATTTCATTCTTGAAGATATTTTAGTGAAAAAGTTAAAATAATAAAATAACTTACTTGATGAAATACTTGAATCATTAGATACTCTTCGAAATAATAAATCACCTAATAAAATAGTTATTTGAGGTTTTATCTCTTTTTCAATATCTTGCTTCATAATAACTCGGTTGAACTTCAAGTCATTCATGTTGAGATTGTTGGAAAATTAATAATAATAATAATAATAATAATAATAATAATAATAATAATATTCCCGATTTTGATTCTAATGATCAAACATAAACGTAATCCTATACTGATAAACATGCTGTAAACTGAATGCGAAAGCATACCTGAATTAGCCATAATGATGATGTCTTTGTAGAGCACTATATTGATCTTATGGTCTTCCACCTGAAGAACACATGTATTTCCCTCTTGATTTTCTTTCTTGATGGGGATATAAAGAAAGGAATAGAAATGAAACTTACGTTCTGTCTACGTGCTCCCAGAAGGGGACTATGACCCCTTAAAATAACCAGAATTAGGTTAATTACTTAAGTTTTAGTATTTCTAATTTGACCCCTCATCAAATTAGAAATTGCTCTATGGTCTCTATACAATTTTATTTTCATGACATATGCCTTTAGTCAAACTTTTTAATTTAGTCAGATCACTTTATTATTTGACTTAATAAATAATGGCCCTTACACATTTAAATTATGTATCATATATATACATGACCCAAAATTTTCCAACAATCTCCCACTGGTCACAAATATATACGTCCTTATAACCTTACAAATGTGTTAGACTTTATGAGCTTAAAATTGTCATTATATTCCTTTAGTATACTCCAAAAGTCCTGTCCATTAATCATATATGGATATAGAACCAAATCAGCTTTTCATTGCATCATCGCAACTAAAACCAACAATGATTACTCATCCTAACATAACCAAATGACATGGATTCATCATGAAATGTGTAGCATGAAAAATTACGTGAAGGTGATCTGTACACGTCTATTTTCAACTGGTCCAAACTTTAACTTATCGAGATCGATATAATATCCTTAATGTACAAAGTGTAATGAATGAACGAAAAAACCGCATATCTATAGAAAACCAAATATGTCCAAATATCAATGTATACATATATGAAATTAAACATAGAACATAAAATATATGAAAGTGACTAACTCCCACTAAACCACAAATTCCTCAAACTGTCACTACTACAAAATATACTTTCTACGTCGTCATTTAATGTCGGTTATAGCTGAGACGACGTAGAAAGTACTTTCCACGTCGGTTCCCAGATGAACCGACGTTGAAAGTTGAATATTAAACACATTCTACGTCGGTTCTTAGTCAACCGACGTTGAAAGTCTTTTTTTTTTTATTTTTTTTCACCCAAAAACTCACTTAAATTTGAAAATTGTCATTGGTAGGATTCAAACCCAATACTTTAGAGTTGGAGGCCGATACTCCAACCACTAAACTACTAGAATTTTCTAATAATAACTTACAAATAAATTATATTTATATACAAATAAATATATATCCATGTAAATATATATTTATTTGTATATATTTTTTGGAAAGTATTTTTATTTTTTTTTCAACCAAAAATTCTCTTAAGTTAATGAATTGTCACTCGATAGCATTTGAACCCAAGTATTTTAGGGTTGAAAGTTAATATCCCAACAACTAAACTACTATAATTTTTTTTAATAACTTACAAATAAATTATATTGGTATTTTTCGATCGAGGGTGAAAGTGTGATTGACTCTTGCTTGAGTGAAAATATGTTAAAGCTCACGAAAATTCACTCACTCAAGTCTCGCTTGAGCGAAAATTGGTATTTTTCGCTTGAGAGCAAATAATGCGTTTCCCAAATTTATTTTATATCATTATATAAATAAAATTATAAAGATTATATTCTGTCATTAAATTACAAACTCATATAAAGATACCTGCTCACAAATTTAGCATCAAATTTTGAAAACCCACTCGACACACACTTTCACTTTCGAGTGTGCCCTCACATCCAACATATAAATATATAACTATATAAATATATCAAAATATATAAATATATTTGTATTTATATATTTATATATTTACACGGATATATATTTATTTGTATATAAATATAATTTATTTGTAAGTTATTATTAGAAAATTCTAGTAGTTTAGTGGTTGGAGTATCAACCTCCAACTCTAAAGTACTAGGTTCGAATCCTGCCAATGACAATTTTCTTAATAAATTAATAAACTTCTAAAAAATATAATATAAAGAGATGGAGGACCTAATAAAAATATAATATAAAGAGAGGAGAGACTTCTAGATAAATAAAAGGGGTAAAAGGGTTGTAAATAAATAAAAATTATTAATTTTAAAAATCATACTTTCAACGTCGGTTTATTAGAACCGACGTTGAAAGTTACGACTTTCAACGTCGCTTGATACAACGTCGGTTCAACAACCGACGTTGAAAGCTTTATTTGTAGTAGTGTGTAAAACACCCATGTGAGCAACATGCTCATGAAAGACCTTGGGCGGAAGTCCTTAGTTAGAGGATATGCTATCATGAAGTTTGTCCTTAAGTGTTCTGTGGAAATCTGTCCACTTTGTACTCTTTCCTTAACAATACAGCTGATTTATTGTCACAATATAACTTAAGTGGTCTTTTA